AATTATTTAACTATTCTGTAGACTGAAGGTAATTTTGTAGTGAGTTTATGGATTTTATAACTAATTCAATTAGCTGCTCTAGGGGCCTCGTAGCCTGGTGGATAGCGCGCAGGACTCGTAATTCTGTGGCGCGGGTTCGATTCCCGCACGAGGCAGAAACAAATGGGCAAAGTTTCTTTCACCCTGAATGCCCCTGTTACCTAACAGTAAATAAGGTACCTGGGAGTTAGTCAGCTGTCACGGCCTGCTTTCTGAGGGTGGAGGCCTGGTCGAGGACCGGGCCGCGGGGACACTAAAGCCCCGAAATCATCTCAAGATAACCTCAAGATAGTTTATATATGTTGTTACAGGGCATTCATGGATAATTTTTGTTATTTTTTGCCCAAGAATTTAGAATGATTTAGCCGAGCTGAGACAGGACTCTGTTCCTAAGCTTACGACTTAACACTTTGGGCATTAGAACAGCTTATCACTTTGGATATGAGAAATGTATATGTTTATCACTTAGAATGTTCAATAATATGTGTATTTATAATGTGTGTGTATATATGTATTAACACGATGTACTGAACGGGGTGAGAATAGCTTGAGCTACCTCATCCCTTTGTGTGTATTTTACCTCAATAAACTTATTTCAATTTCAACTTAGGATATCAGCCCGTTTTGCATGTTCTGCTATCTTGGTTATATTTGCCACAAGCTGACATTTTGCATATCAACAAGTCCTTTATTTGCATTGATGAATTCTAGGCTATTGTCCAGTGCATATTTCAACTTTCTTTGCATCAGTCTATGATGCAAATGATATCAGTGATTATGATATCTATGATATCAGTCTATTAATTCACGGTCATAAAATAAATTAGACAATTCATCTCGTTAATAACTACGAAACAAATTAAGACTATCACTGAAAGTTTCCAAAATTAAGACTATCACTGAAAGTTTCCAAAATTAAGACTATCACTGAAAGTTTCCAAAATTAAGACTATCACTGAAAGTTTCCAAAATTAAGACTATCACTGAAAGTTTCCAAAATTAAGACTATCACTGAAAGTTTCCAAAATTAAGACTATTACTGAAAGTTTCCAGTAAATCACCAGTTTCACGAAGGAATATTATCCAATAAACTCTATATCAGATTACAGTCGTAAACACGCAATTACGTTCCTGTCTGTTCTCAAGCATCATATTCATCATGTGCAATTGAGAGGATTCATGTCTGAACCAAATGTGAATCCTTCGGGTCGTTCAGTCATTATGGTCCTTAGATATTACACCTGTTGTCTCTCCCTTAGCATGATGAGTGCAGGTGTTGGGATACAGGTGTTGAGTATGTGTAGGTGTTGAATATGTGTGTTAGTCAACATATGTGGTGCTTGGGGGAGGAAGGAATGCTTATTTTGAGCAAGATTTGGTGCTAATTGTGATGATTTGATCTTGTATTTAGGTAGATTTTCAGATTTTGATATGATTTCGGGGCTCAATGTCCCCTCAGTGACATTGACTCAATGTCCTCAGAACCAGTGAAGAGCAGAGGTGCCATAGGCACAATCAGAGAGCACTGTATAAACATCAGAGGTCCGCGGTTGTTCAACATCCTCCCAGCAAGCATAAGAAATATTGTCGGAACAACCGTGGACATTTTCAAGAGGAAACTAGATTTATTCCTCCAAGGAGTGCCGGACCAACCGAGCTGTGGTGGGTATATGGGCCTGCGGGCCACTCCAAGCAACAGCCTAGTGGACCAAACTCTCACAAGTCAAGCCTGGCCTCGGGCCGGGCTTGGGGAGTAGAACAACTCCCAGAACCCCATCAACCAGGTATATGTGGGCCTGCGGGCCGCTCCAAGCAACAGCCTGGTGGACCAAACTCTCACAAGTCAAGCCTGGCCTCGGGCCGGGCTTGGGGAGTAGAAGAACTCCCAGAACCCCATCAACCAGGTATATGTGGGCCTGCGGGCCGCTCCAAGCAACAGCCTGGTGGACCAAACTCTCACAAGTCAAGCCTGGCCTCGGGCCGGTCTTGGGGAGTAGAACAACTCCCAGAACCCCATCAACCAGGTATATGTGGGCCTGCGGGCCGCTCCAAGCAACAGCCTAGTGGACCAAACTCTCACAAGTCAAGCCTGGCCTCGGGCCGGGCTTGGGGAGTAGAAGAACTCCCAGAACCCCATCAACCAGGTATATGTGGGCCTGCGGGCCGCTCCAAGCAACAGCCTAGTGGACCAAACTCTCACAAGTCAAGCCTGGCCTCGGGCCGGGCTTGGGGAGTAGAAGAACTCCCAGAACCCCATCAAGCAGGTATATGTGGGCCTGCGGGCCGCTCCAAGCAACAGCCTGGTGGACCAAACTCTCACAAGTCAAGCCTGGCCTCGGGCCGGGCTTGGGGAGTAGAAGAACTCCCAGAACCCCATCAAGCAGGTATATGTGGGCCTGCGGGCCGCTCCAAGCAACAGCCTGGTGGACCAAACTCTCACAAGTCAAGCCTGGCCTCGGGCCGGTCTTGGGGAGTAGAAGAACTCCCAGAACCCCATCAAGCAGGTATATGTGGGCCTGCGGGCCGCTCCAAGCAACAGCCTGGTGGACCAAACTCTCACAAGTCAAGCCTGGCCTCGGGCCGGGCTTGGGGAGTAGAAGAACTCCCAGAACCCCATCAACCAGGTATCAACCAGGTATCCCCGCGGCCCGGTCCTCGACCAGGCCTCCTAGGTAGGAGAGAAAGAGAAGGAGAGAAAGATTATGGACAGATGGAAGAAAGGAAGGAAAAAAAGTTGCAATAAAAAGCGAAATAATGAATGAAGTGACACAAAGAGGGCGAATGAAATGGAAAACTGGAATGAAGAGAAAATAATAAGAAGAAGGAAAGAAGGAAGAGAAAATGGATTGAGGTAAGAAACAATGAAAAGGAGGAAACAATAAAGAAAAAACGAAAGAAATATAAGATACAAATTAAGACTCAAGAAATGTAAAAAAGACTTTTAAAACTAAATAAAACAACACAGATGCAGAAAAAAAATTATTCACATAAGTTTCACGAGACTTATAGGTCAAGAAATACATGAGAATACGTAAACCCTGAAGATAACAGACAGAAATGAATGCAGAAAGAACTGAAGGAAGGCAGGGTGAATGCCGAGGAGTCGTGCTCTCAGTCACGCATATTTCCTCTGACATTGTAAGACGGGGTCCAAGAACATACAGCGTGAGTAACACGTGAGTCTCAGATCTGTATGATGATAATGACTGAGTCTCAGATCTGTATAATGATAATGACTGTCTTCTATTGTTGAAAGGATTGTCTGTGGGGCGCATGCGTGTCTCCAGTAATGTGTTTGTTATTCAGTATTCACCTAGATGTGCTTGCAGGGGTTGAGCTCTGGCTCTTTGGTCCCGCCTCTCAACTGTCAGTCAACTGGTGTATAGGTTCCTGAGCCTATTGGGCTCTATCATATCTACACTTGAAACTGTGTATGGAGTCAGCCTCCACAAGCCTGTGTGTGTGTGTGTGTGCAACCCCCGCAAGCACCTAATTGTGCTTGCAGGGGTTGAGCTCTGGCTCTTTGGTCCCGCCTCTCAACTGTCAATCAACTGGTGTACATGTTCCTGAGCCTATTGGGCTCTGTCATATCTACACTTGAAACTGTGTATGGAGTCAGCCTCCACAAGCCTGTGTGTGTGTGTGTGCAACCCCCGCAAGCACCTAATTGTGCTTGCGGGGGTTGAGCTCTGGCTCTTTGGTCCCGCCTCTCAACTGTCAGTCAACTGGTGTATAGGTTCCTGAGCCTATTGGGCTCTATCATATCTACACTTGAAACTGTGTATGGAGTCAGCCTCCACAAGCCTGTGTGTGTGTGTGTGTGCAACCCCCGCAAGCACCTAATTGTGCTTGCGGGGGTTGAGCTCTGGCTCTTTGGTCCCGCCTCTCAACTGTCAGTCAACTGGTGTATAGGTTCCTGAGCCTATTGGGCTCTATCATATCTACACTTGAAACTGTGTATGGAGTCAGCCTCCACAAGCCTGTGTGTGTGTGTGTGCAACCCCCGCAAGCACCTAATTGTGCTTGCGGGGGTTGAGCTCTGGCTCTTTGGTCCCGCCTCTCAACTGTCAATCAACTGGTGTACAGGTTCCTGAGCCTATTGGGCTCTATCATATCTACACTTGAAACTGTGTATGGAGTCAGCCTCCACCACATTACTGCCTAATGCATACAATTTGTCTACTACTCTGACACTGAAAAAATTCTTTCTAACGTCTCTATGGCTCATTTAGGCACTCAATTTCCACCTGTGTCCCCTAGTGCGTGTGCCCCTTGTGTTAAATAGACTGTCTTTATCTACCCTATCAATTCCCTTCAGAATCTTGAATGTGGTGATCATGTTCCCCCTAACTCTTCTGTCTTCCAGCGAAGTGAGGTTTAATTCCCGTAGTCTCTCCTACGGGAATTGTGTGTGTGTGAGACAGGGTGCATTCGAATGACACCCAACCACTTGGGCTGGACGGTAGAGCGACGGTCTCGCTTCATTCAGGTCGGCGTTCAATCCCCCACCGTCCACAAGTGGTTGGGGCACCATTCCTTTCCCCCCGTCCCATCCCAAATCCTTATCCTGACCCTCTTCCAAGTGCTATATAGTCGTAATGGCTTGACGCCGCATTCTCCTGATAGTTATCTTCCTTCAAATGACACTATATATACATATGTATACTGCCATGTATGTACATATGTATACTGCCATGTATGTACATATGTATACTGCCATGTATGTACATATGTATACTGCCATGTATGTACATATGTATACTGCCATGTATGTACATATGTATACTGCCATGTATGTACATATGTATACTGCCATGTATGTACATATGTATACTGCCATGTATGTACATATGTATACTGCCATGTATGTACATATGTATACTGCCATGTATGTACATATGTACTTCCGCACATATGGAAACCATTTAAGTACAAATTATACAGTAAGATAAAAAACATTATCAGTTATAGAGAATATATTTACACAAACATATGTTACAATATATACAGAGATAAAAACATCCTTCGCTGTTAGATGAACCAGAAAATAAATAGAAAGTAAAAATATATATATATCTATATTTACAACGACCGTGTTCACTGTTCACTGAACAAGGTGAACAGTGAACATTCGGCCTTGTAATGACACCAAATATCATTAGGTAAACATATTAAAATTTGTAAAAGTAAAGAGAGTTTTGAATAAAAGTATAAAATACTGATTGAGTAATTATTGATCTGTGGGAAGAAGTGAGTAGAGAAGGGAAGAGATAGAGAGATGGAGAAGAACAGGGAAAACATTGTAGAGAGAAATATAGGATAAGAAGGTTCTAGAGGGGGAAAGAGAAATGGAACAGGAAAAACATTGTAGAGAGAAATAGAGGATAAGAAGGTTCTAGAGGGGGAAAGAGAAATGGAACAGGAAAAAGATTGTCAAGGAAAGGGAAAGGAACCAACAGGAGAAGACTGGAAGAGAAATGAGGAAAATCAAGAAAATGAGCCCAAAAGCTGTGAATGGGTAAGAAAAATCAAGAAAATGAGCCCAAAAGCTGTGAATGGGTAAGAAAAATCAAGAAAATGAGCCCAAAAGCTGTGAATGGGTAAGAAAAATCAAGAAAATGAGCCCAAAAGCTGGGTAAGAAAAAGCATGCTGGATGCGGGCTCACCATAGCCCGTGCTACTTGGAACTTTTTGTTCATAGCTGAATCTACAACAACAACAGCATGCTGAAACAAATGTCGAAAATAAATCAAAGCACAAAATTTCGCCTCAATCAGTGTAGACTTACGTAGAAGAAATAGGTAAATAAACAGCTTTCAATGCCACTGTGGTACACCATGATATAAATGACTTGAAACTTCTTGGATAGTCTTAAAGAATACTTCTAACCGCTCTAAGAACCACAGGATTACACGAGCACTGAAAACGGAGTTTATTGCACACATAGACAATAATACAACATGCATTTATTAAGAGCCAATGGTAATAAATTCATACATCATATACGCGCTAATCATACATCATAATACAGTGGGCCTGATGGCCCTTTCATCTTCTGTCTGAACATAGCAGACCTGCTGGGGTTATCTGTGGCCAGCTGCGGCCAGCTGGGGTTACCTGTGACCAGCTGGGGTCACCTGTGGCCAGCTGGGGTCATCTGTGGCCAGCTGGGGTCATCTGTGGCCAGCTGGGGTCATCTGTGGCCAGCTGGGGTCATCTGTGGCCAGCTGGGGTTACCTGCGGCCAGCTGGGGTCACCTGTGACCAGCTGGGGTCACATGTGACCAGCTGGGATCACCTGTAGCCAGCTGTGGTCACCTGTAGCCAGCTGTGGTCACCTGCGGCCAGCTGGGGTCACCTGCGGCCAGCTGGGGTCACCTGCGGCCAGCTGGGGTCACCTGTGGCCAGCTGGGGTCACCTGTGGCCAGCTGTGGTCACCTGTGGCCAGCTAGGGTCACCTGCGGCCAGCTAGGGTCACCTGCGGCCAGTTGGGGTCACCTGCGGCCAGCTGTGGTTACCTGGTACCAGCTGCGGTTACCTGCGGCCAGTTGGGGTCACCTGCGACCAGCTGCGGTTACCTGCGGCCAGTTGGGGTCACCTGCGGCCAGTTGGGGTCACCTGCGGCCAGTTGGGGTCACCTGCGGCCAGTTGGGGTCACCTGCGGCCAGCTGGGGTCACCTGCGGCCAGCTAGGGTCACCTGCGGCCAGCTGGGGTCACCTGTAGCCAGTTTTGATCAGTTTCGTAATTTATATTCTCTTACGCCTTATGAAATTCACTGAGGTTCCTTAAAATGATTCGTGGGGTAGTCTATAAGCCCCCTGGAATTGACTCTAGTAACGAGGAGTGACCTAATGAGCTCGTTAGGTCAGCTGGGATCACGTAGTTTCAGCTGGGATCACGTTAAGATCCTGTGAAGCACGTGAGCTCAGGCTACGGAGTGGAGGGAGGTGCATAGCACATACACACACCACTGCACCGATACGCTATGTGACTTCACATTTTGTTGCCTATGTGTACACATTGAGATGTCACCCTGGAATGTTCTGGAGTTGTGGGGGGGGGGGGTAGATGGGAGAGGGGGGATCGAAGAGGGATATACTGCACAGTGCAACGATGGCTCCGCTCCCTCAGGTGGCAATTGATTAGCTTCTCACGATTCGAAGTTGTAGATGTCATGAGAAAGAATAATCCTCGTTGCTGGAGACTCAGGGAATGGCCTTGAGAGCCAAAGGGAAGGGCAATGTGACCTCGAAACTTGAAGTCATTGATGTGTCGCTGGTCGGAGCTCTACTGTGGAGCTTAGGTCATGATCTGATGGGTCATCTGATGGGCCGCCATGTCCCCATAGTGGTTCCAGTATGACATATAGTGGGCCGGATCCCACTGGTGATGGGGCGGCATCATAGCTTGATCCCGTCGCTGCTGTTCGCAAGCGGCCATTGCCTGATTCATCGCCATCATGTCCTTGGACGGATGAGCTGGTGGAGACACCATCATGTCCCGTGGAGCCGACATCATAGGAGACGTCATCTCCCCGTGGCTCGATACCGTTGGAGTTTGAGACTGTGGGCGGTCGTCGGGCGGAGGAGAAAGTGGGCCACCGTCGGGTCCGACAGACGACGGTGGCTGATCGTGACCATGGTCTGTGGTGGCTGGAGAGCTTGGTGATTCAGGCCCGTTCGACACCATCTGTGACAAGTTGGCTCCCAGATCTGCAGCAATTTCAGCAGCGTCGACTCCCGGCAGCTGGCCGTTCTGAGCCGCCTTGTAAAGCTTCTTATACTTGGACCTGCGGTTCTGAAACCAGATCTTAACCTGCAAAAAGAATAAAAAAGAAACATTAGTTCTAAATTGTAAACGTAATAAATTATTATATACATCTACATATTTAGTTTGTGATATGCATGATATTATCCAGTTTTTATTTTATTTAAATGTGGCTTGTACTGTTAATTGTAATTAAGTATTACTAGAGCTACGAAATATGTAAACAATAAATTTTTGTTATATATATATATATATATAAATATATATATATATATATATATATATATATATATATATATATATATATATATATATATATATATATATATATATATATATCCGTCATTCAAATAATCCCTATTGTGGTTTTAAGAGTTTCTGGTGCATTGTGAATTTAAGCCGGGCCAGACACGCCCCGGGGTCGACAGATTAGTGGGCAGGGATGCCCTTTGGGACATCTGGTGGATGCCCTGAACCCTGGGGGGACAGGGGGATGGGTGGCGGGGAGGGGGGACAGGTGAGAGAGAGTAGGCCTACCTTCGGCAGCTACCTGGAGGGCCCACAAAGTCAGGTAAAGGCATATATAATGAGACACTGTCTAGTTCCCACGTCGCCGCCGTCATCGCTTCCTGCGGCGTTGGGTCTTAGGGTGCTAACTGCCCTGTTTATCTGCTAACTGCCCTGTTATCGCTGAGAATCTATACACTCCGGGAACGACCTTAAGCCTCGTAATTCGGTAGTTAACTCTGATGTCTTCGTGTGCTTGAGACTCGATTGTAATTATGTTACACTAAGACCAGAATGTTGTGCGGATTTTTAAGACATACTTAAGACAGGAGTTTCTTGAAGGTGAGTACTCCAAGCACTTGAGCTAGACGGTAGAGCGACGGTTTTGCTTCATGCAGGTCGGGGTTCAATCCCCGACCGTCCACAAGTGGTTGGGCACCATTCCTTTCCCCCCGTCCCATCCCAAATCCTTATCATGACCCCTTCCCAGTGCTATTTAGTCATGATGGCTTGGGGCTTTCCTCTTATTCATTTTATATGAGGGTGAGTATGTCAATGTGGAGCAATACTCGCGACATTAAAAGTCACAACAGGAGTCTAATTCCTTCCTCGCGCTTCTAACCGCGTCAGTGTGGCTGTGTCGAAGATACACAAAGATTGACAAATGCTTCCCTCACCTCTCCTGTTTCTTCTGTGTACTCGCCAAGGTGCGTGGACCCTTGGCTGTCTGGGTTCGAATCCTTCAGGGGTAAGGAGTTTTATATATATATGTGTGTGTAAATCACGAAAATTAACGTCTCGTAGCCTGGTGGATAGCGCGCAGGACTCGTAATTCTGTGGCGCGGGTTCGATTCCCGCACGAGGCAGAAACAAATGGGCAAAGTTTCTTTCACCCTGAAGGCCCCTGTTACCTAGCAGTAAATAGGTACCTGGGTGTTAGTCAGCTGTCACGGGCTGCTTCCTGGGGGTGGAGGCCTGGTCGAGGACCGGGCCGCGGGGACACTAAAGCCCCGAAATCATCTCAAGATAACGTGATGAGAAATGTGACAGTATCAGAACACGGAGGATGTCTGACATCAAGAATTAAAACAGGAATTTCCTTAAGTACTTTCGTATATTAATACATCAGAAGGAATGATTTACAGGTCAAGTATTGGACATATATAGGTAGGAGAGAGTGGTGGAGTGAGGTGAGGTACAATGAAAAATGAATGTGAATTAGGTAGACAGAAATATGAGTCGCATATGAACTGCAGAAGGCTTATTGGCCCATACGATGCAGCTTCTATCCATACCCACCAACAGGCCCACACATGGATAATACACCATGGATAAATGGTGTATTAGGGCCCACACATCCCTGGAAACACAAACCGAAACTGTCTCTATTTTCCGCTTGTTACAACTTGAAAAAAAGTTGTTATATCTTGGCTTAACGTGTTTATGACGTATTAGAACATTGTTACAACCTGCTATACTCGTTGTTATAACTGGTTAGGTGGTGTTAAAACTTGTTCGAACGTTGTACCAACGTCGTAGTTTCGGTGTGTGTTTGGCGGGATGGATAATACACCATTTGGTCACCATTTGGTCCGGGAGACATCTCCCGTCTCGCAGGGTGCAGTCGCACCTCCACAGATCTCCAGTATCAGCTCTTGATACTGGTAATGGCTCAAAAGGGCCACCACTTACGGGCTATTCATGCCCGTGCCACCTTTTGGGTGGCTTAATCTTTATCAATCAATCAATCAATGGATAATAATAGCAAAAGATAGTAAATATTAACAATGAATTAGTGAGACAAATGTGTACCAATGATCCTACTCAAATCGCCCTTTAATTGATCTATCAAAAATGGATCTTAAGTCAGGTCTTTATCCTGATCTCTTCCCAGTGAAGACTTGGCACTTTCCTATCAATTCCCTTCCCTTACTCCATGAATACAACTCCATGTATACAACCTCCTCCCCTCCCCCCTCTCTCACTCTATCTACTTCCGGTTAGGGCATAACATGTATACAAGTTATGAAATGTATACATGTATACAAATGCTTCTCCCGGTTTAGCTGCGATAGGTCAAGATGGAACAAGTTGATATCCGGGCATCCAGGCCGCCCGATACCACCCGTGATACCAGCCCGATACAAGGGTAGATTGTACCCAACGACTCCCTGCCCGTCTAGTACCGTCTACCCCCTTCCCATCTCCGGCCGTATGTGGAAAAGTGGGAGAGAAAGATGGCGTGTGTCGACGGAACAGTATAGGATAAAGGTAGCGAGTGTCAGTGGGACAGAAGATGGAAGGGGGGAACAATGGATGGTGATAGGGAAGGAGGAGTGCGTGGAAAAGAAGTCAGGTGTGACTACATTGTGGGAGGGGATGGGTGAGTGAGGTGTAGATGTGGCGAGGATAAGGGATAGTCTTGGGGGTGTGTGTCGGCGCGGTGGAAGGGAAGGGATGGGGGTCTGGGGGCACAGCAAGGGACAATATGTTGTGATAGGTGGAACAGTGAGGGTTTTCATGGAAAGGGGCGGGACACAGACATTTGTCGGCACAGGAAAACGAAGGAACGTTGGGAAGAAAGACAGGTTATTGCGGAACGGGAGGAAAGGGAAGGGTTTAATGACACTGAGAAGGAAAGGTGTGTAGGTATGGGGTGGAATATAGAGTAGGGAAGGATGGGAAGGTATGGGATAGAGGGAAAAGGAGGATATATGTTTATACATACAGTTATACCCAGGTCTTTCTCTTCAACCTTCCCCATTCAAACCTCTCTTCCATTCTTCTCATTTCCCATTGTTTGTTTGTTTGTTTGTTTTTTACTAATAACTCCACAGAAATCATGCAAAATGGTTTACACTTGACTCCAGGAAAATGGGGGGGGGGCGTCTTTGTAGATGCTAATATTTCTTAAAGCATTTAACGTAGGCCTACCCAGACCAGCCTATGTCTGTCTACTCAAGCAGACCATTCCCCCTGCAAATATGCGTGAGTGTAGTATTAAGCATCTGGCCCCCATCTTAGATAACCAGATATTCTTGCTTTTATAGTATAGATATTCTTTAAAAACATTCTGGTTGACCTGGTTGATGGGGTTCTGGGAGTTGTTCTACTCCCCAAGCCCGGCCCGAGGCCAGGCTTGACTTGTGAGAGTTTGGTCCACCAGGCTGTTGCTTGGAGCGGCCCGCAGGCCCACATATACCTGGTTGATGGGGTTCTGGGAGTTGTTCTACTCCCCAAGCCCGGCCCGAGGCCAGGCTTGACTTGTGAGAGCTTGGTCCACCAGGCTGTTGCTTGGAGCGGCCCGCAGGCCCACATACCCACCACAGCCCGGTTGGTCCGGCACTCCTTGGAGGAATAAATCTAGTTTCCTCTTGAAAATGTCCACGGTTGTTCCGGCAATATTTCTTATGCTTGCTGGGAGGACGTTGAACAACCGCGGACCTCTGATGTTTATACAGTGTTCTCTGATTGTATTCTACATTATACCTTGAGGTGTTTCCGGGGCTTAGCGTCCCCGCGGCGCGGTCGTCGAGCCTCTTTCATGCCAACAAGTGAAGTAAAACTCCTTAAAGAACATGTGAAGAACTCTAATAAAACCTCTCCTCGACGCTAGGTTCGACAGAAGACCACAGCCAGCGGTCAATAAAAGAGTTACCCCTCCTACCACCTTCAAGGCGTTGTAAATAAATCCATTCTCACGACTTCGTCTGCCCAGTGGGTAATCTCATCTTCATATCAGATTTCACACAATGGGGGATTCCAAGCGTAAACTCAAGTCGCTCCACACAGACGATTCGTTTTATCGGGTCTTATCGGAATATTGAAGCCGGGGTTGAAGAGTAGACAGGTTGACTAACATCCTAATGATGACATTTGTTGCCTAGAGCTTATGAAAACTAGATTGAAATTGAAATTGAAATAAGTTTATTGAGGTAAAATACACACAAAGGGATGAGGTAGCTCAAGCTATTCTCACCCCTTTCAGTACATCGTGTTAATACATACATATACACATCACAAACAATAAACATATTACCGAACATTCTGAGAGATAAACATATACATTTCCTCCTTTACACAAGTAGTATGGTATCAGACGTATACACAAATACTTTTATGACCTAGGTATACTGTATAGACAGAAAACTAGATATTTGAACAAATCCACAAGGGCCGTGACGAGGATTCGAACTTGCGAACCTAGATATTTGACCTCTTATTTTCGTGAGGTTAATATAGGGTTAATTTGGATATTAAAGAGTATAGGTTACCTTGAGATGATTTCGGGGCTTTAGTGTCCCCGCGGCCCGGTCCTCGACCAGGCCTCCACCCCCAGGAAGCAGCCCGTGACAGCTGACTAACACCCAGGTACCTATTTTACTGCTAGGTAACAGGGGCATAGGGTGAAAGAAACTCTGCCCATTGTTTCTCGCCGGCGCCTGGGATCGAACCCAGGACCACAGGATCACAAGTACCGCATGCTGTCCGCTCGGCCGACCGGCTCCCTAGGGACACATACATCTGTCAGGACCAGGGAT